AGCAATGTTGTCTTTTTCTGTTATTTTAGCTTCGAATTTGCAAAGAGTAAGCTTATTAAAATAAACTAAATTTGTTTTTTCAGAACGTCCAAATAACTAACTTTAGTGCCAGCTGGTCAGATGGTTTAGCATTTTGTGCTCTAATACATCATTTCTTGCCAGATGCCTTCGATTATAGTAAATTAACACCAAAAAGCCGAAGACATAATTTTGAATTAGCTTTCACTGTGGCCGAGTAAGTACCTAAACAAACAAATAATTAAAGTAGCTTATGGATTGTACCGTTTCTAAATTTTAACTTTTCTTGCATTTCAGTGAGAAAGCTGGCATAGCGCCACTACTCGATGTCGAGGATATGGTAGAGATGAAACGACCCGATTGGAAATGCGTTTTCATATACGTACAGAGCATCTACCGTCGTTTCCGTAATTGCCAATAAAATCGGGGAAAAACCACAAATTAAATAATCTTCTGACATCATAGCCTGCGGTCATCAGCAAAAAAAAAAAATTAAAAATATTTATTGAAAAATAACTATTGGTGTATACTAATCCTTCATTGCCATGAAACCGATCTTAAAAAAACGGTTCTACATATTTGCCAAAATTTTTTGTTGTTAATTATGAATACAATGGTATTGGGCACTGGGATGAACGATTTCATGTTCTATGTACTACTCTGCTAACTCTTGCAAAAAAATTAAAACATAATTCATAAACGTATGAAGAAATTTTAACAAAACTACGAAAACCTAGTACGTATTTGTAATTAAATATATTTATTATTGCATATAAAAAAAAACATAACATTTTGTGTATTGGTTTCCTAAATCTTGAGCAATAAAAACAGAACGTATCTCTCATACATATGTACATATGTAGGTACATTGTACATACGAGTATAAACTTTTGTAACTCGATCTGGATCGTACGACGTAGATTAAGTCGACTATATTTTTGTACGTACAAAAATAATTAATGTGAACATTTTTTGAAATTTCTTGTGAATTTACACGCTGTAGCGCAAAATTATTTTGGACTATTGAATAATTGTTCTTGTTGTTGGTGGTGCATTAATGTAAAATTACATACAAAACTACTTGTTAAAAATTGAACTAAGTAGAATAATCGACTTGTAAAAAAAGAAGCAAGCACATTATTGATGATATATATATACATATATAATACATATTTTATGTATAACCGTACTCGTATGGAGAAAATGCAATATTTCACATGCGCTTGTTTTCGCTTTTCTCGATAAGAAACATATGAAATCACGCCTAGATACTAACAACACGTTTATTACAATAAATAATATACATATTTACACATAAATAAATATATCAATAAAGATTTTCTTTTAATTGAAATGTAAAAATATATGTATATGAATAACAATTACACACATTAATTACAAAATAATTATCAATTACAATTTAGTTATGCCTTTCACACATAATCAGTGTTTAAATATTTTTTTTTATTCTCATACCCGTTGTATACTATATACATATGTATTGTAAAATTTACGAAATGTTGACTTACATATTTAGTTATGAGAATTTCATCTAAAAAAATTTTATACACACACACACATATCTTTATTGTTTTTTTAATATTTGTTTACATTTGTACTAATTGTTGCTACGAAAATATAGAGATTAACATTTTCAAGCTACGGTAAACCAATCGTTTCTTTTTAATGCTTAAAATGGAACGTATCGAAGTAAGTATGTATATATCGTCACCTGACATGCAAAAAGACGTAACAATATCGTAACTGTAATAGAAAAAGTCGTGACTAATATTTTTTTATTTCTTTTTTTCATAAAATTATGTGAGAGTTGTAGTTTTTATGGCGATAGAAGAACAATTTATCGACGTTATTGACTTCAACGAAATTGTTCTTCTATCGCTATGGTTCCCACCTTCTTGCTTATCAAGTTTTCTGGTTATATGAATAGCTTTCCCCGCTGTAGTTTATTGCTGGAAACTGGTTAACCAAGTTGAATCTCAGCGTTTCTGTATTTCGGATATGCCATCTACATACATACATACAAATAAACAGTACTGTTCTGCTTACTTTTTAAAATTACTTTTTGATAAATTTTTTGATAAGAAACCCTTCCTCCATTTTGTGGCAAACGCCTGCTACAATTACTTCCGTTCCAGTGTCGTTATATTTATTTGCAGTTGTTGTCAAACTCGAGGCGTCGCTGCTTTGGATTTTCAAAATATGTAAATGGAAAAATGTTAAAATTTTTAGTATGAAAATCGCAAGAAAATAAAAAAAAAATTATTAGTTGATCAATAGAGGAAGTTTTCAAAGGCCTCAAGCTGCAGCAGCCAGCGCCTCCAATTACGTCGTCTTCTCCATCCGACGCCGCTGCTCAACTAGTACCACCGGCCCTGGTTTTGGTTTCACCTACTCCTCCACCTTCGGCAGCACCACCAGCGCCTCCGCCGCCTCCGCCGCCTCCACCGTCATCATTGCTGCCAAGAGCACGAGCTACGCTATTTGACGCCTTGCTGTCCCAACCATCAACATCGGCACGCGCGCCCATTCGACTACGGACCAACGGTATGCAGGGACTATCGGAGGCGACGGCCATACGGTTATTCAACAGCGTTGTGGCAACTGGACAGCTGACTGGTCCCCCCACGACACTCAATGCTGCGCCACTGACGCCAGTCAACGCCGTAAACGACTGCAAATCGGTAACGACGATACAGTCATCAAATGAATTTGGGAACTCTTGTCGCATTTGTCGTTGCAATCGAAGTGACGTACAGCTGTCACGTTGCCCTTGCCAGTGTCGCGGCAGTGTGGTAAGTGTGCTTTGTATCCGACGTTAGGCGAGGTGATTGGTGCGATCGCATATTTATTTGCTTTTTTTGTTTTGCGTTTAAGGGTTTTGTACATATACCGTGTCTGAAGCGTTGGATTTTGCATCGACGAGACACGCATTGTGAAATTTGCAACACCCCTCTCGATATACCGGATGAGAAGTTGAATCTACGCCGCATGTTCGGCGCACTATTCTCGACGCGTTGTGGCGGTGCGATTATGAAGCATTTGCTGTTAAGCATTTCCCTACTGCCGCTGGCTCATGTGGTGCTACAACAGGTGCTCATCTGTATGGACAAAATTAATGCCAGTCCCAACGAGCAGCTGACTGTGCAGGAAGTGGTGGTGGCGTCGTGTGCGCTCTTAACCTCAAGTACGTTACTCGTTTACGAATTACGAAATCATAGCTGCTGTGCTATCACCTAATCCTTTGTATTTATCGGTTTCAAATCAGGTACACTCTTCTTCCACTTTTTCGAATTTATAACAACTCGTTTCCTATTCGTTCGCAATATTCTGCATCAGTGGTGGATGTTTGGAAATCAGGAGAACTTCACTGTAATTGAAGTCGACAGCGAATATTTTGATGTTTTTTGAGTAGTAGCAAGCTACTATAACAATTTTAATTTCAACTATAAGACATAACCAAATGTTCGAAACAATTCAAATATAAAATATTCATTAACGAAGCATTCTTTTACACCAAAAAGCTGTTGTATTCTATGTATATAATTTTATTAGCATATAAGGCGGATGTCGCCACCGGTGCGTATGAGCAACACACGGCTGCCATTTTAAATAATTCAGCTAAGAAGTAGCGTACTTTTAGGCGCATGTATACATCTATACATCGACGAGTGGTCGTAAAACTGTTGTATTTTGGTCCCTAAGACTGGGTTCACACAGAGAAACTTTTGTTGCCATCTTTGGCAATTTCTCCGTTTAATGTTGTCCTTCGCGTTCACACAAAGCAATTCCTTTGTACGCAATTGTTATGGTCGGCTGTGAAGAGCCAACCAGAATTACGGCGCGTTTACATTGGACAATGCTGTCAAGACAATGAAAATATACGTATTAGTTGTCAAAAACGCATGCATGGAAAAGTATGCATGTATTAGTGAAAAAGTGTGCATGTGTTGCTATTGTCATGTCACCCTGCAAAAAATTTTGCAACTAATCTCTAAAGAGAGTATTCCGAGATTACTCTCAATCGGGTACAACTGGGCATTAATTCGTCGCAACTAGTCTCATACGGGTACTAATGGTGATCAGTTAGTCTCGATTAATCCTTTACGGGTATAATTGGAGGTCAATTAGTCCTCGACTCTTCTCTATCGGGTACTATTAACAATTTAATGATATGTACGCACTTAGTCAATGAAATTTCATGTGCGGCGTTGGTACCTAAAAAGAGAGTATTCGCTTAACAAACCTGAGCACCTTGGTTCGAATCGCGGCTGGCGCAAAATTTTATTTTAATTTTTTTTTTAAGTGACTAGTCGCTTTTGTACCCGTTAGGGTTTGAAGAGGAACAATTAGTCTTTTCATAGGACATGCTCGAACAAAAGCGAACAGTTCATTCCATATAAAGAGATCAAAAGTGTTATTAGGCGCATGTTCCTTTGGGATTGCTCCCGGAGTCATTCCAGATTAGTCGCATTTTTTGCAGGGCAGTATTGTCCGGTGTAAACCGTAAGTTACTCAGACGAAAGAGAGCACAAAGCGTGTTGCCCGAGCACGATCAACTCGGTGCCCTTCCCCATTCCTCGACACTAACCTCTGCAAGAAGTAACGAGTTGCCGCGACAAAAGTTTCTCTGTCTGAATCTAGACTAAGTGCTCATTTACACACGGCGATTTTTGTTGCCACAACTCGACGTTTGTGAGAGAGAGCGGGACGAGGAAAGGAGAGGGGCACCGAGTTGCTCGTGCTCGGGCAACACGCTGTGTGCTCTCGTTCGTCTGTGTAAATTGAACCGCGGTTCACAGCTGACAACAACAATTCGCCGCGTGTAAATGAAACGAGCCACACCAAAAGGGAATGTGAAAAATCGCGTCGACAAAAGTTTCCGTGTATAAACACAGTCTAACCGATTCCGGTTGCACATTTTTGATCCCAATAGACTGGCCTCCCTCTTGCACAAGTAGCGTACTCGCTCTAGCATACTGCGGAAGCTAATTTACAAACTCTACAAGGAAAAGCGAAAACCTTTCTTTGTGATTTTATTTGCCAGTTGAATATTTTTAAGTCGTTTGTGAAATTACGTATATTTGGCGATAATTGTGTGTATTTTGATTCTTGAAGTTGTTAAAAGTTCAGGACAAGTGTTCGAATTTAAATTAAACAAACCACAAAGTGTATTGGTGAAAAATAAGTCATACGCAGTCAACGTGTTGGGCAGCAGACCAGTCTGATTATCGACTGTCTGTATTGGACAGGAATCGAGTGGTTCATTTTAGCTGCGAAATTGAATTTATAATGGTGGAAATAGCGCAAGACTTCACAAAGGGTAAAACTCCCGCAACGCTGTATGAACAATGTCTCGGCTGCTACGTCGCCAAACTCAATTACAATGTCCAAACTCTGGATAGTGTGCAGCAGTTGCGATATTTGCCACCAGGCGTACTAAGCGATGTTTATGTCATGGTAAGTTACGTGCCTACTTATACTACATTGAAAATTAAAGAGTAATATTCAGATTTTGGAGTGTATTTAAAGATTCTATAAATCTATGCCCACGTGGACAATTGGAATGAAAGAACGAACATTACCCTGATAGGCAAAAATAGTTTACCAATCGAGTTCGCCATCATAAACGAAAGCGAAATTGCCAGCGAGATGCCAAAAAAATTTTAACTAAATGAACGGGATGGGAAGGTGTATACGTACATACATATGTATATATATCTAACAGTTGACGCTGAGACTTGTTTGACTCGTGCAACCAGTATGACAGATTAGCTACATATTTTGTGAAAGGTGGAGTAGCTGCTGGTAATTGTGTTTATAGACGGTTGCGCTATTCGCATTAGTGATAATGATGAAGTGCCTCCTTCACATGCTATTCTACAATTATGTGAAAAACTCTCCATGTTTGCTAACACACAGATGTATATTGTCATTACATTACATTAGCCAAAATCAGCTGGTGCAGAAATATAAACATTAGGGGTATTCTCGAAGTCTTGCACGATGCACGGATTGCACGAAATGCAAAAATACTATTCCAAATTTCGAAGAGTACGAGAACACCCCATTGCAAAGAGGTAGCATGCATGGGGAGCAAGCAGCGAAATTATGTATCAAATACAATAACAAGAGACAGCAAAAAAAAATTAAGTGAGCGAGATGAGAGGAATGAGAGAAATATGTAGCAATTCCAACAACAAAACAACTAGCACAGGGTCGCTATTATCTTGCTATGCTATTTTGCAAAATATATACATGGGTTTCGACGTTGCATATTTTGCAGCGATAGGAAATGTTGTTTCCCATGAATTTTCTTGTTGTGTGTTTGCAATTTATGCAATCCGTGCAATCCGTGCTACGTGCAATGGCTTTGCAAGATTTGGAGAATACCCCTATTGAGTACGGAATGAAAGAATACAGTCAATCAAGGCGACCTCCAGCGGTGTACACAACAACCCATAACGAATAAAAATTGATAAGGAAAAAGTAGATTGTAGTACAATTGTGATGACTTGCAAGCACACTTTAGTTATTTGTACATACGTATTTACTTTTTGTTTGACATCACTTTTCCATTAAAATTTTTATTTGACGCATGTTTTGCAAACGTAAATACCTAGTACATATTTAGTTGTAGCCTTACGTACATACATATGTACACATTTCACAATATCACTGAGGCACACTTAAATTATTTATAATTAAATGCTAATGACCGACAATTCTATTCAGCCGCCTCGATTTCGGCAAACTGAGGGCTAGTCTTATCAATTCGGTATTCGCTCGTGCTTCTAATTTAGTTAGTATTCCGCGTGACACGTTGCCTGCCGACTGATATGCTGCTCATACATGATTTAATAATAAATTATTATTGGAATCATGCTGCTCATACGTAACAATAGGCTGGTGTATAATGAAACAGATACCCTTTTCAGTGTTTCATGATATCGTAACATAACGATGTTGGGCCACGGAGTAGGATTTGCAAGTTTCGAAAACGTGGCAGATAAATTAAAAACCGCGAATATATACATATATGCTTCTGCTTATCTTTTGTTTACATTCCATTTTAAGTAGTACATATTATATTATATATATATATACATACGCAGCTATGTACATACATATATGTACATAAACATACGCAGCTATGTATACAACTTTTCACTCTAAGCCAGCGATATGTATGAATGTATAATTCGCTTGTAAACAAAGTAAGCTTTTTGATACAGGTTTATAAATACTGTACACGTTTATTTTAATCAAAAGTCATTTAACCTCTTTGTATTAAACACGAAAACTGATGCATGTATTGCGTTGAAAACAACAAATGAAATTTTTCTTATTGCTAATAAAGGAGTAGCAAGAGAAGCGCCCAGTTATATAAATGAAGACATCCATACGTACATACATATATATGTATATATGTTCTTAGTGAACATGAATAAATAGGTGTTCGAAAAAAACCACATAACTTAAGACCTTCATAACTGCACTGATTCCACAAGACGCCTGTGAGATGAACGAAGCTAAATGCGTAAATGGGCTAGCCCTGTTGCTGCGTTTGTCTGTTTTACATATCACTTGAGCAGTATCAATGTCTTTGAACCCACTGCAGTGAACAAGCAATCAATTAAAAAGCTTGGACCATTTTTCGCACTGATAAAGAAAAAGAAAATTGCCACCGCGTAGCTATACCAGGCTATTTGATGATTGCACATTGAAATTTTGAATTCCTTTAAAATGTAGCACAAAGTTGAAACCACTTAAAAACAGGTTGGTTATCGAGGGTAAGTTTTTTGGTGGGGGTTGCTGTTAATTTGCAAAAACTAAATTAATTCTCGAGAAAAAAAGAAAAGTACGCTTAGCTTGAGTTAGGTTTGAGGTCGCGCCCGGAAGAGGTACAGTTTTTTAAGGAGAGTTATTGCATGGTACTATTGTAACATATTTAGGCATATTACAAACATTTTACGTGGTATAAATAACCTTACTGATTGTAATTATATTCCAGATGTCCAAGCATGATGAACTTAAGGACATGCTGTTGGAGCAGCTCATCGATTTAAGCACCTTTGAACGGCTACTTCGGTTTGATCCTGTGCGTCTAAAGCTTTTTCGTTGTCTAACCGCATTGATGAGTAGCGGTAAACTTCTATCCACGCAACTTCAACAAAACTTTACCATGCGCTATCGCCAGAAACAAGACTCAACAAAATTCAACAAGACTGCTACAACTGAGCCAAGCTCAAGCTCAAGCTCTAAACCGCTAAAGAAATCGCCTAATTTTCCCACTACCCCAACCATGGTTGATTTATTTGCCAATGCAAGCATAAGCACAACTGTCAAAGATAATGACGTTTATGAGAACTCAAGCGTGAAAACTGAGTCTTCAATTGTTAATGATATTGACCCAGATGTAATTTTTGAAGAATTACCTTTGGATGATTTTCACTTTGGTTTGGATGTTATCGACTTTGGATTACGGTTGGGCTCGTTTCTGTCCGAAGCCGGTTGGCTGGCGGACAGCGTAGAGATTTTACAGTGTGTAGCGTCAAAATTGCGTAACATGCCAGCGGATAAGCAACATATGCTCGTGCGGCTTGATTGCCTGCAAAGGTATGTAATTCGTTATGCAGAAATCACAAATTTTAATACATTCTCTGAAATCCTTTTTCTTTTTTTGCAGATTACTACATTCCCAATCTACTTTATATAGTTTTAAATCTGCCGAACGCACATTTGATGAAACGGTGGCACTGCTCAAAGAGTTGTCTCAGGACAATGTACCACGTGCACTATTAGCAAAAATTTACACTCAGTTCTCGGCCATGTACTTTGCGCGCAGTGAATATGACAATAGCCACATGTGGAGCTCCATTGCCATGCGGCATTTAGAAGAATCAACGCCAGAAAGGTATTTCTCTTTGAAATTTTAAAATTTAATCATAAATAATGCTTTGCATGGCTTTTAGGATTGCAGTAGATGTTTTGCGGCAAGCAGCCAAGGCATGCGTGGTGAAACGAGATTTTCAACGAGCGAATCTTCTAATAAGTCAAGCAACGTACAGGGCGAGGTAAATGCGCATAAGTTTTAAGCAAAATCCAAGTTTTCTTGAATCTTAATCGGTCTCGAGTTTATATAGTACATGCATAGCATTCAACATTTCGCTACAATTTCGAGAAATGGCTATGTGATGATTCTCATCTCTTTCTTCTTTTTTTTTTTAGAAAAACCTTTGGTGCACAACATCAAAAATATGCCGACAGCTTACTCGATTACGGATTTTTCCTTCTGAATGTCGACTCAGTGTATCAAAGCGTTATTGTTTACAAAGACGCGCTCGAAATTAGACGTAACATATTCGGCAATCGCAATTTTCATGTAGCAATAGCACACGAGGATCTCTCTTATGCTTACTATGTTCACGAATACAGCACCGGTAATTTCTCTTGCGCACGCAAACATGTCGAAAAAGCCATCGAAATTATGGAATACTTAGTGCCGAGAAATCACTTGGTGCTGGCATCAGCAAAACGTGTGAAAGCGTTGCTACTTGAGGAAATCGCGTTAGATAAGCTAACTGATGGAGGCGCTGATGAAGATGGACTTTTGCGCCAATCTGAGGAGCTGCATAATTTTGCGCTGAAGTTATCATTGGAAATGTTCGGCGAAGTGAACGTGCAAACAGCCAAGCACTACGGCAATTTAGGCCGACTTTATCAAACTATGAATCGATTTGAGGTACGAAGGTGTATCCGTGCTTCGTGTATAATTTTTTGTTATCGTCAAAAGTAGTTGTAGAAAGTTTAGCTGTTATTATGCAGATCACATCTTATCAGTCAACATTTTTTAGGGGTCAGTGGATATTGAATCGACGTGATTCGGCATACAACTTCAGCACGCTAGATGCTGGAAAAGGAATCTCCATATAAATTATTATAAATTTTCATTACTTAACAATTTAACTACTATCAAAAAGCACTATTTCGCCACTACATTTTCACATATATTTTCGTTTATCCTTTACAGGAAGCGGAACGTATGCATCTAAAAGCAATACAAATTAAAACAGATCTTTTGGGTGCCTATGATTATGAAGTGGGTCTTTCGATTGGTCACTTGGCTTCACTTTATAATTATCATATGGGAAAATATCGCGAAGCAGAATCATTGTACATGCGCAGCATTGAGATTAGTAAGTATTAGTAGAGTTACATGATTTTTCGAAGGTTATTAGCAAATGAGGCATTGATTGAAATAGCTCGCTAAAAGGCAAAGCTGGTATAAATGTAGTACTTCGCTAAATGCTTCTTTGCCGCCAATCAACCAGAGCCGACCTATTCAAATTCTTCAAAGAAGGAAACGGTTTTAATTATTGGAAATGTTTATCACAAATTTATGTACACTTGTATGGCCAATATACTCTTCCGTATGCAGTAAAAGCCTTGTCCTCTTTATCTATCTATCTATATCTAATCATATTTTGTCTTATATCCTTACAGGTTTACGCCTATTCGGAAAATCGTATTCAGGACTAGAATATGACTACTTAGGCTTGTGTCATGTGTACGAAACGCGTCGCGAATTTGAAAAGTATTTAAAGTATGCGATTATACTGGAAAATTGGCAGATGTTACGCGGCCAGAATATCGCTATGAACGTAAGACTATTAAAACAGTGTTTTAGGAAATATAAAGCTTCATTTTGTTGGGTATTCTTTCCTGTATAGAAAACCTATGCTGAAGCTAGCGACGACTACTCATTGGAAGAAGTGAAATATCAATTCTTTAACATGTGCACGCAAAATTCAACGACAACCGCGACCACAGATACGGGAACGATCGTACATAATTGATTGGACCCACGTACGCGTACTATATATAGGCACGCCAATGCGCTCAAGACTACGTAAAACAGGCGAATAGTATTTACTTCCATATGCAGCGGCTTGACACAAAGTCTTCAATCGATTGCTTGTTCAGTCTATATATTGTATATGAGGTTGTGTACTTTAAAGTGATACGCTTGAATTGAAAACTTGATTATGCTACATCGGATGCACATACGACTCCACACACTGCTTACTTTAATTATTATAAGCACATTTGTTTTGTTTTTTTTTTACATATTTTCAAGAGAAAAGAACGAAACGCCCTATGTTTAATTTTTGACCATCATTATTATTTTAGTTTGTTGTAAATCATATGAATGAGTAATGTGTAAAATATGTTAAAGAAAGCTGATTCCCGCTAAGATTTTTAAGGGTGTTAGCTGAACAAAGGTCAAGTCTATTTTTGAAAAGCTAGAAACAAATGTAGAGCTACTTTGAATTTTTAGACGCATTGCACAAAAACTCACATAAACCGATAAATTAAGCTAGGGAAGTAGTTGCTTAAACTTTTGTGGCATTAATAACAAAGTAAAAATTTAGATAAACATAGCAGAGGTGGCGTAGAACAAATATTTTGTTGCTACAGCCGGTGAAAATATAAACGCTCATATGAATGATATAATGCCTTGGAAATTTTGACTTTGTGAATTAAAGCTTAGAACACATATATGTATGTAGATATGCGATTTTTTCACATCATGTTCATTCATACAAAATTTATATTAAAAAGGTGCTGTTTTATATTGAGTTACACGACGATAGCAATATTTAAAAAAAATCCGCCAATACATATTAAATTTTTATTATACACTTGTATTATTGTATTTCGGAATTCGATAGCAAAATTATCCTAAATCGCGTTTATGATAAATTTGCACATTTTTTCTTATGCCCGCCACGGATTTTCCCGCTTTAAAAAGTAATGTATAATTTTTTTTTTGCTTCTTCGCAATTGTGTAGTATTGGCAAGGTTTATAATTTTATATTTTACTTGGTTTCCTCTTAAAAATTATGTATTAGATACTCCAGTATATATGTTTTTTTAACTTATGGTTTAGTACATACGAATTTAGTATTTGGTTTAATGTTTTATGTTTTTTCTTAGTTTTCAAGAATTTATGCGTTTGTATTAGGGCTGTGCGATTATTCGATGACTCGAGCAAGTTGGTTAATCAATTACTACAACTGAAATCTCAGTGTTTTAAAACACAATTGGTATATGTATTCATCCACAGCATTATTCTGTTGTCTTAAAAACTAAAATAAAACAATCTTTTTACAGTATACATTGTTTTTTTTTCGAATTGATTCAATTCTAAGTTTTATAAGAAATTGTACTACAGGAAAACTTTTAATTTGTCGTACTAAACATATTCACTGATTTGCTTATTAACATATCTATGCTTAAAATATTGACAGAAAAAACTTAAAAATTGGTAAAGAGCACGGCCAGTTAAGTGTAGAATATAGGCTGTCTTCTTAAACGCGTTAATGGAAAGCATCAGCCTATTTTTTTCCTAAAGCATGATATATCGTCACCCTTATGCTAAAAGCAGGAATGTGCAAATTTATCCATTTTGAGTTATTGGGTTGATTTAATTACACTTGAGGATGTTCTATGTTATACCAAAACCCAGAATGACATGCGTACACGAAAACCATATATTTTACAATTTCAATTGCATAAATATAGAGTTAAGTCTCATAAAAAACTTTCAAACTTAATTTCTCAAAATTTGAATTTTTACACATTCATGCTTCTGGCATACGGGCGACGATATATGTAGTTACATGTGTATATATATTCAATATGCGCTACCATTGAACGAATGCAAATTTTTAATAAAGTTGCGAAAATTCTATAAAATTATCTTCTTTGGTTAAGAAATAAAAAAGGGGGATGCTTAGCATTAATGCGTCTAAGAAGACAGACATTGCCTTAGTTGAAGTAAGAATAAAAATGGTTTATGAAACACATTTACATAAAAACTATGTACATACATACATTTATACGCACATACATAATATAAAGTGTATATAATATAATATTTAAACACAGTGCGTGCTTTGCATCATAGAAATAAAATAATTCAATAAAACTAAAAACCAATGCGTTCAATTAATTGTGCATCTTGATGTTGTTTGGACATACAGGGATACCTACAGTTTTACGCTGTCTCCGAACAGCAAATGGATTCTATGAGAAACTTTTTCATGGCAGAAATACACACGGAGGGTTGCTATTGCCTACTGAGGGACGACCGCTGTTAGAAAACACTTTTTCTAATTTAAATGTCGTCCGGACCAGGAATCGAATCCAGATCTTGAGGAGCGGCAGTACGTACCTCCAACCACTCAGCCACAGTGGCCGTCGTGATATGTAACAATAGTAGCGTTAAATTTACCTTTACGTCTGAGGTCATCGCAGACTCCTCAGGCATATAAAAATACCCCAAAGTTAGCGTTCCCACGACAGTCGGGTCTACGTAACCGGAACGACCCAGATTTATATCTGGCCAAGGACTGTCACTCCAGCAACACTCCCCAAAAAGTCGTTGGGGAATTTGTATGCTGCTACAACAACAACAACCCCAAAGTTATAGAATTCAAATAAATCGATACAAAATGCCCACTCGTTTCGTCTAGTGCAGTGATTCCCAAAGTGGACCAGGTGAACCCCCAGGGATCCACGCGAGACTCGTCGGCGGTTTACGTTGTTGTGAAAACGAAATGGGGGGTTCAAAAGTTCTAAGTGGGGGTCCACTGGTTTCGATAGTAAAAAACGAAAATGTTGTCGTAAGTTTTCCTATCAACGTAGTTAAGCAAATAATACACTACTCAATTAAGGAAGCCAAAAATATTTCAAATATTTCGCTGATTTTTGACAGGCTGTATTTCGGTGAAAAATGGTCGTATTGGGACTCTAAAAAAACATTTTTGAAGCTTTAAGACTATAATTTTATGGTGTCATTCATAAAAAATAAAGTAGCTTTATAAAAGGTTTATAAATTGAAAAATTATATGAAAGTGTCAATTTATAAAGCTCTTTAAACCTACTTTATTTTTTATGAATAAGGCCATTAAAATTTCTCGGCTTT